AGGGTTAATACTTTGGTGCTATTCCATAATCTTATAGAGAGAGAATGTGTAGCGCAGAAAGATTACGCGACTTGCCAAATTCAGAGTTAGGAAGAGATTCCAGATCTCTCTTCCTTTCTGCTCTTGTTATCCCCAGAGTATTTTTCCATGGCTCCCTGGGATAGTTAACTGCCTCCTTGGTTTGCCTGCTCTGACCACAGGAAGCCGGGGGCTTTGATAGGGCTTAGAAGCTGATGATGCTGAGGTAGGATTGAGGCTGAACCCTTCACTGTAGAATTCTGTGGTAACCTTCAGGGAAAGTCCTTTGCAAGTGGACACAAACAGGACCTCAGCACAGCCCGCTGTATGTGTGGCTTGACTCATTGCACAGGCAAGTGCAAAGCCACTTTTCTGAGGAAGAGCTGAGAATACTTTAGGCTAACTACAGCAGAACCATGGTGGTATTTCGTATGACTAGTTGTGGTATGGATTAAGGTGAACATGGTGCCTCTCAGAGCAATAATTGGCTTGGGTATCTGGACAAAAAAAAGCTGGCAGACAGTGCATCAGGCAAGGAACTAGGAGACTTTTAAGCATGAGATCAAAGAAGCTTTAGATTTAGTTACTCAAAGTAGTCAGGGAAATCACCTAGAGAGGTTAGTTATGATTTTGAGAAATGATTTATGAGACAGTGGCAGTTACCTTCTGTTCCCACAAACTTGATTTAGTAGCTCCTAAGTTCCTCTTTTTACAGAAAAGTCTGGCAAAAAAGACACATTTGCCAGAGTGTTACTGCCACTGTACTTTCCCAAGGGAGCTGTTCCAGTGCTTGGCTATCCTGCTTTTCTGGTAGAACTGTCCACGGGGAACCACAGTGAGCTGTGTTATATCTTGATCTACTGCAAGATCTGAAAAGATGTGAGTATTTGATTTCTCGGAAGGTGAAAGTAATTTCTTGTAATACGAGCACAGACTGTTATTGCTGCAGTTACTGGAATGAGAGTTCTCTCCCTGCCTGGCTCTTCTTTAGATGTCTTGACTAACAAAGTCTTTTATCCTCCTCTGCTTGATGCAGGGCTTGGGCCAGGTTTTCCCCTCTGTCTTTTACCAGAAGGAATAAAAAGTGACCACGTTGGTGCCAGTGAAGCTCCCCTGGCTTTGCTGTCACACATGACAGCAGCACCATGGTGCTGTGCTGCTAAGTGGACGTTGTGCTTGGGAGATACCTTTTCATGTTATTATAGAGACAGCGATGGAGTTAAGGCTATAATGCAGGGTCTCTTATAATAACACTCCTGTTATACTTTGTAAAAGGCTTTGCAAGCTTTTATTTTGTAAGTGAGCACTGCAGCCAGAGCAGCATTTCTGGCAGTGAACCATGCACGTGGTTTGGGAGGTTCAGTGTGATATCTCAAGCATCCCTGTGCCATACTGTGTCTGTCCCAAGGACACAGCCTAAGATGTTACCTCACTGAGGAAACAAACAGGGAGGGGTTCTGCCCTTTCATTTACCTGCCCAAGTCAGCAGCCTCATCCCCAAGGCTTCCTCTGTATGGAAAGGGGAACGTCCCTGAAGAATACTGTTCAATACTCTGTGTTAGGCTACAACTGCATTGCTGCCAGGAGGAGCTTTCCTGAGAATCTGTGGCATGAGAAAAACTGGCTTTGTACAATTTAGGACTTAAATCAGGTGTAAAGTACTATAACTGTGAGAATTCCCTGCCCTCTGCCAGGTGCCTGGGAATGCCTCTGGGACATGAGACTTTCTTTTAGGTGACATTTCTGCAACACAGAGGTCTCAATACTGCCAAAACCATGCAAAGTTTGTGTTTGAAGCTGAAATGAAGGGGATCTAAGGCCCACAAATATTTCAATAGGTTTTTCAGACCTTGTGCCCTTGTAGACGCAGCCTGGGCTTTAGCCCTGCTGGCTCCAATCCCAGCAGGGAATGCAGTGACCCTGGAAGGTATACTTGGCTTTTGGTATACAGTGTGACTCAGAATTGGTTTGGGGGTTTACATGTATACATGGAAAGTTTTTGAGAAATTTGAATTAAAATTGCAGTGGGTGCTTTTGCTTTGTCTGCATCTTACTTGAGTCATGTAAAGCCGACAAAATCCCTAAGGGCAGATGCTTGTATCATTTTGGTTGTGTGCTTTTCTTTTCACACCAGGCTTTGAGAAGGATGTGCCTTTGGTGGGTGATGAGAAGGTAAAAGAGAGACGTACAAATCAACTGCTATATCTTGTCCATCTCTGTCATTTGTCTTCTGCAGTCCTGGCCAGATATGTTAAAGGCATTGTAGAGTGTATTTGTTAAGCAAGGTTTAGCAAAAAATCATTGTGCAAGAACTGGCTTTCTTTGCATCCGGGGAAAAATTAATTCTGTGCACTGTAGTTGCTCCCACTTGAATAATGACATGCAAGATTTGGATTCCATGCAGGTGTCAGTTACAGTGAACTCTTCAGAGAGTTCAGTAAGAGTGATGGCTTCGGTGTCTGTCATGATTGCACACATTGTGTTAGAATATGGAGTGAAGGTTGGAAGTTCCCTTGCTGCATCTGCCAGTGACACTGTCAGCTGCTGCATGTCCAGCCTGTGTGCAAGAGGACCAAACAGGAAATGCAAGCTGAGACTGAAAAATAGAATGAAAATGTTGAACTCCACCCTCCTCTCAGCACAGCCTCCTCAGATAAGGAGCTGTAATCTCTGCTCAGGGATCTGCCTTGGACAGCACTTTCACACTTGTCCATTCCTATGGCCATATCTGTTCCTTCTCCACTGGCAGTTGAGGGAAGGCTCAAGCTCTAGAGGCTTCAAGCCACCTTTGCAGCACATTGGGCTCATCCAGGAGCAGATGTGTGTGACATGAGCTGGGCTTAGCTTAGACCTGCCTTTGGGAACAGGCACGAGGGCTTCTCTCCTCCTAGGGCAGTCCAGAGCCTCAATGACCCACCCCCTCCTGCCTCAGCCAACTCCAGATTCTGGCACCAGCCCATTTGAGCTCCAATTCTGTCCAGAAAATGCAGGTTCGATGAACTGTACCTGGCCAGAGGGCAGAATATTTGTTGTCATCCTCAGTTAAGGGCCTGTCATCTTTGGAACTTGAACATCTGACCAGACTACAAAACCGTGTCTGTAAAAGCACAGCTCTTCTCTGAAAGAGACTGCAAGTGTTTCATCTTGTCTTTCAGGGACTTGGTGGCAACTGAGCGTGGCTTGCAAGTAGAAAAAAACTTTTTTTCTCTCTAACTGCCTCTCCTCCAGATGCAGCCTGAACTCAGAGACCTGAGCTGTAGTCTTTCCATCGCCCTCTGATCGGAGGGTTTGATAGAAAAGCTGAGTGTGCAGCAGCACCTGTGAGCTGGGGCCCAACCATGTGCACAAGGGGGCATCCAGGGAGTTCTCTTCGTAGGGCTGCTCATGCATGAACTGGAACTGAGCCCAGCTGCTGCCCTCCAGCATTATTCTGAACAAAAGAAGTCACACTCTTCTATGTGGTGCAGCTGTGCCCTTACTTAGTACTGCCTTTATTGCCTCAGGTAGAGCCTGCTGGAGGGACCTGGGGACTCAGCAGTGCTCAAGGCCGATGAGGCAAAGAGCTCTTTAATGCTTGCTGTTGTTATCTTTCATTTAGCAGGTGGAGAAGAAGAAATAAAACAGGTAAAGTGAAGAGTTACAAAAAAAAAAAAAATTCTCAGGTGATGGTTTAGTAGAGAAGGTAGCAATGCATGATTCATCTAGATACTCCTGCTTTCCTAAGCAACAATAAATGATGTTGCTTTCCTAACTGCACTATTCTCAGCTGTGTATTTTGTGATAAGAACTACTGACAAAAGAGGATTCAGCCAGCACTGCTGGCCTCTGTCCAGCTGAGCTCAGCCTCCTCATTCCCTCCAATCTTCTTGAGCCCTCCCTTGTGTGCAAGAAGAAAAGGAAGGCCAAGGTCTGGAGGTGCTGTAAGTGGACTGAGCTCAGATCCTTAGCTAGGTTTTGACTCTGCACGCAAGCAAAACTTCAATGACCCCCACCTCTCCTAATGTGTCTGGGATTCAGGTTTCTGCTGAGGTTCTGGTCAAGGGCTCCCTTCCTTTTCCTGCTTTGGGATGTGAGGGTGTCCAGGCCCACCTTCTCTGGCAGACATGCCTGGAGGAGAAACCTCAAGCAGAAGCAGGGAAGGTCACTGGTTTCCTATGTACTCTCAACAGCTCATGATCTTGGTTATTTCTTAGAGCAAACAATTTTGATCAGGGCTCATTCTGAGCACAGCAGGCACTAAGCAGAGCTTGGAACCAGGGAGGAGGCTAACAAGCCTGAGCAAAACCCTAGCTCTAGGGGCTGGTGTTGTCCTGTAGAAAACTGAGCCTTTTGTAGGACCAAGGGCTGAGTGCACTGACTGGGGTCAGGCTGTCTCTCCAGACAGTGCCTGTTCGACCAGTGACTAAGAACAAACTCTTGAGGGGTGGCTCCAGAGCCAGACTTCTTGGAGTTTGTACCCTGGGACTTGCTCTCTCAAGCATCCTCATGTAAGGCTCTGTTAGCGGTAGATTTTGGTCTCAGGATTAGCTTTGGTATTTGACAGTGTAGGAGCTCCAAAGGAAGTTCTGCCCTTGACTGTTGCATTTATAACTCACCACCACCACTTAATTTCCCACCTTCTTCCTTTTTGGAAGAAGCCTCCAAAGAGTGGAGTTCAGAGAGCTGCAGACATTGTCTTTTTTGATTCCAATTAAACAGGGAAAGGTACATGCAGGTAGCAGGGTAGTCCATGCCTGGAGCAATTCGGTTCCTTTGGACAAAAGCCTCAGAAAGTTGAGGAATAGGCCATGTAAAAGAATGGTTCTAGAATATTTATGGAGCACAGTTATACTCCCAAATGTCTGCTGGGTCCTGAACTCTTGCAGCTGATGAGAACAATAGCAAGCTGCCATGATTCTTTCTCATTTCAGCCTTGCGGGTAGAGGAGAATCCATAACAGGATAAAGCAAGAAAGAGGAGACAAGTTTTCTTTCCCACTCCAGGAAAAATAACCTGTTGGATTATAATCTGCAAACAGAGGAGGGTGCCAGTATGAGCAACGAAGGGCCAGAGAATCCCATCTCATCCACACTGACCCAGGGGCTGAAGAGAAAGAGGGGGAGACCAAAGAAGCAGCCACAGGTGAGAGAACATCATCCCAAGAGGATGCCTGAGGATGCCATGGCAGTAGCTGGATGGGATCTGCAGGGAGCCCTGGGAAGCTGCTTGCTAACAAGGGCAAGGGAAGGAGAGGTGTTCTGGGGTAAATGCTGGGGCTACCCAGGACAGCAGCAGGATCTGCACCCTGGGAAATCTCAGCTCCTGGCCTCAGAGGCACCTCTGATGTGACAGGCAGTGACAGCTCAGCCAGGACATGTGTGTGAGGGACTGACCAGGTCTCTGTTCTAGCCTGGAGACTTTCACATGTCATCACCCTCTGTTTCTGCACCAGTAATTGGCTAGAACAGGCAAGGCCTCTTGGGCAGAGTTCTTGGAACTTACTCATTTTCCTAGCCCAAAAGACAGACAAAGAGGTAGGAGTATTGCTGATCATCTTCTAATGCACTTCACAGCTGGAAAAGCAGAGACAACCAGCTCTTTAGGGATCGGGGTGCTCTTAGTGGGCAAGAGTCCAAGACCAACCAGAATGAGAGAATGTAAATTGTTTCAGGGATTGTCCTGCTTAAATGGTTTTCTCCTTTTATCCCAGGAGGATGGTGGAAACACAGCTGCTATCCCACAGGATGCTGAAGAACCACAGCCAGTGAAGAAACCACGAGGAAGGCCAAAAGGAAGCAAGAAAATGACTGTTCCAACTGGGGGAATGGTGAGAGGAAACGGCTTATACTCATTTACAGGGGAGAGAAGTACTGCCAGAGAGACCAGTAGGGATGTTTCTCTTAGCTTAAAGATAATGAAAGTTCCTCCTAATTCAGCTCAGCTTTAATTGCCACCGTTGGACAAATCAGTTATTGTGGTTTTAGTCCTTACTCACCTCCCAGCCTTCCTGTGTTGCCACTGTCTGTTCAGCAGTTTCCTCCCAGTGTTTCTCCTCCACCACTGCCAAATAATCACAACCAGTGCAGTCAGGCAGGTGTTTCCTCCTCAACTGTCTTCTATCCCCAGCTTTTACTTTTTCTGCTACCTGTGAGACAAGACCTTTATACAAAGGTCACCTTGGCCCTGTTCAGTGGTTTAGTCACAATGCCCAGCAAATCCGAGAGCTGATAATATTTTCCCCCTTTGTTTTCCATAAAGGCAGAACCTTCTGCTGAGAAAAGGCAAAGAGGGAGGCCCCGCAAGTGGGTGAGTACAGTGTTCAGTCCTTTCCCTCTTCTCCACTCACAGATCCTGGGGACCTTGCAGCTGTGTTTATCCTGCTCAGGCTCTGTGTCTGCCACAACATTCTTTGAGCCTTGGTAGCCTGGAAATAATTCGGGAAGCTCTGACTGCCTTCCTGATGGCCTCCAAGATTCAGCTACTGAAGAATGCTGAGAGCCATAGGGGAGATGCTGTACTTAATTCAAGATATACCAGACTTCCACAGTATAGCACTTCCTCAGGCTTGGAATGTCAGACAAGAGATTCCATCCTTTCTTACAGAGAGGGGTTGTCTTCCCAGGAGACTTGAAAGACTGAAGCGATTGCTTAGCATGTCAGTTTGTCTCAAAAGAAGAAACTTAAATTTAAGCTAAAAGAGAAATTTGATGAATGGAGAAACTTTAAGTCCTGTCAGCAGGAGACTCTTTTATGCAGCAAACGAAGGATTAGTAAGAATCAGTAGCTAAGAAGAAAACATTTCAGGTGTAAAAACAAGACAAAATCTTTTAATCAAGAAGGATATTCAGTCCTATGAACTACTAATGGTATGTTACCTGTCATTGGGAGTGATTAAAAACCCCCACAACAGCCACAAACCATTATTTAGTGTGCATCACAAAAATTGCCAGATCCAAACCCAAGCTGTGCACTTGCTGCAGGAATCCATAGGTTTGTTGTACAGATGTGGTGGCACAGAAGTGCTCAGGAGAGAAAGTAACACTTCTGGTTCAGCAGAACCAGATGGACAGAGCAGCCTGTGAGGGTCATGCAGAAGGCTTGAATGGAAATATTCACCAGCAAGGAAGTGCCAGGATGAGGGAGAGAACAGAAGTATTTTCTAGTGTGACAGTGACCTTGCATGCAAATATTTCCTGGATAGTGGGAAACTGTTTGCAAACCCTGTGCAGAACATCCCAGACAAGGGAACTGTTGCATAAATCTGTTCCTTCTCTGCAGTCCAAGTGAGAAGGTAACAGTCTAGTTCAGCACACTGCTCTTGCTCAAAGCCCATCGCTTTCCCTAAGCTCATTTTTATTATGTCATTTAAATACAGTGATTAGTGAAGCCTGTGTTACCAGTGCTTAAAGCAACCAGCTGTGAAAACTGGGATCCTCAAGCTCTATGGAAAGTTCATCAGATGCACAAGTGGCTGTGTCTTACAGAACAAAACCTTACCCAGTGAATTCTGCTGGTGTCATTTGTGGACTGACAAATCTCAAAGACAAGCAGGAGTTTTTAACATTTCAAAATGTGTCATTTTAACTTTGGTTAGTGAAGGATTCTGATGTTTCAGTTCAGAATTAAACAGCTGAAGAATTTTTGAGGAGCAAAACCAAAGCAGAAGAAAAAAACCAATAATTTTGGTTTTAACTGTCAATAGACAAAATGTTTAGCTGGTCAAGACAGGGACAGAACTTGAAATATAGAAAATATTCTTGATGGAAAAAAATCTCCCCATCTGCATAATGGGCAGGGGTTTTTTTAAGTGTTGGGCTGTGTCTCACAAGGCCAATACTGGGATGGTTTATTATGGATTCTGACAACTATTCAAAGACTTGTGAAAAGCTGAGTGTGGACAGTACATGCCCTGGTATGTGCTCTTGCTGAATGTAGGAGTTGGTGGCAAATGGATGTGCTTTCAGGGCTGCACAGTCTTGTTTAAATAATAATCCACCTACTTTGCATATTTGCAATTTTGTCTTTTGATACTAATTTGCATGTTTATTTTTCGTGTTTTTCTTTGTAGACTCAAGCAGCGGTCCAAGAAGAGTCTCAGGGAGGAAATCCTCTGGAAAGCAGTGACTTGAACTTGAACTCGGCACCAGCCACACAAGGTTTGAAATTAGATAATTATAATTACATGAGACTAAACAGTGGAGCCATGCTCTGGCAAACCATGCATTTACCCACAAAGCTCTAGCACTGCTGTAGTCTTCCTGGTAAATCTTATAAACAGAGGAGCATTTGGAAGGCTTCCAGGCACATTCCTTCCATCTAATTCAGTCATGACTACTTCAGCAGAAGTGGAGGTAGAAAAAAAGGAAGGGAAGAAAATCTGTCTGTCTTTCCAAGAAGTCCCACATTTGAAGTTCTGGTCACTACTACAGGTACAGCTCAGTGAAATTGTCTGGCTGGTGTGTAAAAAGTGAAAATTGTCTATTGTTAATGTCTTGCCTTCCTTGAATAACTTTATGAACAGAAGATCTCTTGGTATTTGGGACATTTTAGCTCTCTGGATTAATTCCAGAATACTTCTTGGATGGTCTTCCACTCTCCTTCCTGGCTTGTACTCTGAGGCAGAGCTCTCAGGCAGTGGCTGGCACTGGCAGAGGTGCCTCAGCAGCACAGACAGTGATGGCACTGGCCAGTTTCTGTGGAAGGCTCCAATTTATCTGAGGCTCTCTGAGATGAGATGCCAGATAACTGTTACTGCTGTTGTAGGAATGTACAGATGCACCACCCAGAGCCCCAACTTCACCTGAACTCTGCAGAAATACAAATCAGAATCTATACCATTCAGGACTGTTTCTGAGGTAGATTCCAGCAAACTTTGTGTGCATCTATGTCCTACCTTCAGTAGACCTTGTAGGAAGCTCTTCATGAAATGTTTTCCCTGGGGGGAGAAGGGGCCAGGAGCTGAGGGGAGGCAGATGTTGCCTTGTTCGCCATGTGGCAGCACAGCTGCTCCGTGCTGCCAATGGTGTGTGAAGCGATACTGGGCAGCCCAGCCCATCCCCGGGTTCTTAGAAAGTCCCTGGAAATGCCACATGATTAAATGGCAGAGGAGTTAACCTCAGTTGCTCAATTCAGTTTCCTCTGGGGCTCCTGCTCCCGTATCACTTCCTGCCACGGAGCTGTGCGCTGACATCGGCGGGGCCGCAGGCTCACGGGGGATGAGCTCACCTCCGCCCGGCCCGGCCGCCTTCCGTGCAGTTAAAGATCGCCCCAAACCACAGCCAGCCCGTCCTTTCTTCTGCCTTTCAGTCTGAGTGGGGCCCGCGGCAGTGCAGGAGCAATCCGTTTCCCTGCTGTCGCAGTGAGGTGGCAGCAGATGGGACAGGATCAGCGGATGCTGCGGTTGCTGGGGGAGGACCCTGCAGAACAAAATAGTGCAGCCCCGAGCGCTGTGCTTGCCCCGTGCCGGGCATGCAGAGGGGACTTCTGCTCTTGGGGAACATCTGCACTTCTGTGAGAACAAAAAACGGCCAGGAAATCATTGGAGATAAGCATGTACAGTATGAAACCAGGCAGTCCTCTGGAAAAGGACTTAAGTTGCTATTTGCTCAGGAGCTTGAGATGGAGTGGTAATCCTGGTTTAAAACTTCTGACTGGAAAGGGGAAGCATGCTGTTCTGGTTTATTGGAAACTGTAGGTCCTGGGGCTTGTCTACAAGCACAGGGCAGCTGTAGTAGCTTGCAGACAAGTAGCATCTAGATTAACCCATTCCATGGGTCTGGCTTAACTGGGGTATTATATGCCTGCAAGTTTTTATGCTGCTTAATGCAGGAGGCTACTGCTCTGAGATTTGTTAGCAGGAGTCTGTGATCTCTTAACGATCTGCTGTAGACATAGGCAGAGCTTTAGCCATTGAGAGCTTTGGTGGGTTTTTTTTCCCCTTCCAGGTGAGGATTTTTGAGGTGTTGCACCAGGGAGGGGATGGGAAGGTGCATGTGCTTGCCCATCCTGCAGGTTGTACATTGCACAACTCCAAGTGGGAAGGAGATCTGCCCTGGACTTAGTGCCTGCAGCATTCAGATGAATTGGTGAAATAAACACTGACTCTGTCCCTCAGTCTGTTACTGAGAAAATCAAGATACAGAGCAAGAGCTGCATGAGAAATATGCAAGATTTGCAAGTCTCCAGTGGGGCAGAGAGCTGCTTTAAAGCCAGCTGGTATTTTTCCCCATGGCATTTGCCTGGGGGTCTAGCTCTGCTTTTCCCAAGGCACTGATTATGGGGGACTCCAGGTTACCCAAGAGCAAGCAGGATCTTGTTAATGGATCAGGCTCAGTTGTGTTGCTACCTGTAGATGCTGCCAATCATAACTCCAGCATTAACATTTCTGTTTTTCTGGGTCAAAGCGCTTGGGGTTTTTTTCTGTGAGTACCATTACTGAAGGATTGATGAATCTCATTTCATAGGTTCCTAAGCCACAGTGGCAGATGTGGTTTGTCTGAATAGCTATTTTTGGCTAATGGACTGTAGATGTGAGGGGGAAAGAGGTTGCTTTATGGTAGAATTTCCAAGAGCCAGTGCAAAGCCTAGAAGCAGCCTTGGAATGTTGCTTCTTTTTGTCTATCTTGCTATCCCTACATTCTTTTTCATACAAACTTTGTCTACTTCGTTTCCTCTGCTGCCCCAATGGTCACTTCAGCTCTCCTGAAAGCTAGGGGTGAGGCACAGATCACAGCAAGCCTGTGTAGCCAGAAACATTCCCCACTCACACCATTTCCAGACATTCTGCACATCTACTTCCCTGGTGTTTAATATTGGGTAGGGCACTTGGTGTCTCATGAGGATTCAAGGAAATATGTAATTGCTGTCAGCAGAGGTGGCTAATGAGTGTTTGCAGAGCAGAAACCAGACAATTTGACACACACTGTCACTTCTGGGCCCTCAGTAGGCTCATGCTGAGCCCTGCTGCCAGGGAAGCCACTTGTGTCAGGAGCTCCATTTAGCCTGGAGCTGGTACAAGAGCAATGGGAATGTTGTTGTGAAGACCTCTGGTTTTTGGGAAGTAGATCCATGTCACCTCTCAACCTTCTACTGGCTCTGTAAGGGGTACTGGGCAGCAGGGCTCCTGTACCCAAAGCTCTAACCCCCTGTCTCCTGTGATCTTTCCTTTAGACATCACTGGAAAAGATGGCTCCAGGTCTGGCAAAACCACTGGTCCTAGGAGATACCTGAGTAACATCCCTGCTGCAGCTCAGTAGTGTCCCAGCTGCTCGTGTCTTGCTGAAGCCAGAGGAGTGGAAAGCAAACAGGACTTCTAATGTTGTATTTTAGATTCTTCATTTGTGATAATTTTAGCCAAGCTCTCTCCTGTTGCCTGTGGACTTGTGTTGGAGTGTGTTTTAAGTTTCCCCCCCGTTATGGTTACTCCCTGTCCCCCTCTTTTTGTAAAGGGGGCCAGCCTTCCTTCTCCTCCCTCCTCTGTCTGCCTGTCATTCCTCCCTCCACCCAGTTCATTGTATTCCTGCTGAGTTATCCCTCCCAGCCACACCCCAGAGTCTGCTTGTCTCTCAGAGACCTCTCCCTTCCACCTAGAAAGTTCCATCCAGAGCTTAGAGTGATAAGCTGGTCTCCGGGGCCCCCTCCCTCCCTCCTACCTCACTGGAAGTTTCCCCTGTGTGTCACCCCTGTTACCACCCCCAGGTGTTATCCCATTGGTTGGCTGCTGTTTTCTCCCCTTGTTACCACCCCCCTTTAAGAAGCAGGGCACATGGTGCCCGTCGCCTTTTGGAGCTTATCTTGTTCGAGCCAATAAACTCGGAATTCTGATACCTCCCGAAGGACAGCTCCTTGCTTTTGTCAGAGTCGCTCTGCGTGTCTTTCAGTCTGGTGGCTTCGACTTCCCTCAGGCCACACCTCGTGCCCACAGCGGCACAAGAGCATGGCCTTTGCTGCCGCAGTGCTAAAGGTTCTGGGCTAGCCGAGACTTAGTTACATAGCAACGGCCCTGGTGGCTCAGCGGTAGAATTCTTGCCTGCCACGCCGGCAAGGCAACCTGGGTTCGAATTCCGGCAAAGCCACTACTGCTATCGAGACTTGGCAAGGCACAGTGACAGCTTGGCGCCCAATGTGGGGCTGAGAAGACCTCCAGACCCTGCGGAGAAGACCAGCGGAGCCGTCGTTTCAGATTTTTTTTTCCCTGACGCCGGTTTGCACGAGGTCTTTGGACGTTAGGCTACCCCCAGTGGGAGCAGACCTAGTTTTATAGGTGGCGCTCCTGGGGGACGGGAGAGGCAGCCTCTTCGGTTCCCACCAGAAGTCTCTCCCAGACAAAAGCCCTGCCTCGGAGTTTTCGTTGGTCCCACAAATTTGGGTAAGTAGGAAAATTCCTACATCTTTTCTTCTTTCCTCCCTTTTCTCTCCTGGGTTTGGAACAGGGGGAGTTATTTCTCCTTTGTTCTGTGGGTGGGGGGAAAGCTTTGGGTGTCCGGTTGGGATCTTTGTTTTTCTTTCTGCTTTTTCTCTTTCTCCGAGGTGGGATTTGAACTGCTCAGCAGCTTTTTATAAACTGTGGGTGGTAAACTCTCTGCTGAACAGAAAGGAGCCTAGCTTCAAATTGTTGGTATCCTTGTTGGGGGCAGGGTTTCAGTTAAAAAGGGGTAAGTTAAAGATCTAATAAAATGGCTTTTTCTCCATTTCCCCGAAATTACCACTCCTGAAAAAGTAACAGACATTCGCTTTTGGGATTCGGTGGGACAAAAATTAATAATTCTCGGGAAGATAGGGAATAGTACAATTTCTAAAATGACATTTTGTACTCTGCAGATTCGGACTATTCTAAATTCTAAACAAAGGGTGGAGAAAGAGTCATTTTCGAACAGATTTTCCCTGGTTCTTTCCTCTCCTAGCCCTCTTCCCTCCCCTGTTAGCCCTAGAGCTGGGATCCTGCCAGGAGCAAACCGCAATTTTGCGTGGGGTTGCTACCGTCTCCCCGGCTCTCCGCAGAACCCCAGATCCCCCCGCCTGGGGAGTCGTGGCCAGACTCCTCAGGACCTTTCCAGTCCCCAACTCTCCCAAAAATGTACAGTCCCATCCTGAGAACCCTCAGTTAGAGCTGATATCCCCGATCCCCCTGATCTTCAAAATGGCGCTGGGGGAAAAACAAAATGGCGGGCGCCACATGGATTTTCCCACCACTTTTCCCCCTCTTCAAAATGGCGCTGGGGAAACAAAATGGCGGGCGCCACATGGATTTTCCCGCCACTTTTCCCCCTCTTCAAAATGGCGCCGGGGAAAAACAAAATGGTGGGCGCCACATGGATTTTCCCGCCACTTTTCCTCCTCTTCAAAATGGCGCCAGGGGGAAACAAAATGGCGGGCGCCACATGGATTTTCCTGCCACTTGTTCTTCTCCTCCCCAGAATCCCTTTCTCTCCTCCCCCAACCCCTTCCAGTCCTCCAGCCCTTCCCCAGGTGTTAACTCCTCCCTCTCCATTGTTCCTCCTCCCTTCAGTCCCTCCCTTAGCCACGCCCCAAATTCCCACGCCATTAACCACTCCCCTTGTCACTCCCTCCAGGCAGAGCTCCCCTCTTCCAATGGTCCCACCCACCTCCCTGGCCCCTCCCATTCGGGGTTGGATTCCGGCTCCCAGGGTCCTCTTCCCGATTCCCACGATGGGGAGGCTGGGGGAGAGGGGCCTGGGGACAGAAATGGCTCCCAAGTAATACCAATATCAACAACCATCCCTGATAATGGCCATGGAAATCCCACACCAACTTTGCTGGCAGCACCTGTTACCTATATCCCACATGGTGAAGGTGGTGTCCGTGCCCAGTGGACCCCGTTGCCTTTTCAGGTTACCAAGGAATTATGTAGGGCGCAGCGGGAGTTCACTAGGGAGAGCGAGTGTTTCTGGGGGATGCTCATGGCCACGTTATCCACTGACCTCACCCCTGCGGATCTCCGCCAACTCTTCTCCTGTCTGCTGACTCCTACAGAGTTCCTGTGGTGGGAGACAGAGTGGCGGAAGGAGGTCCGGGGCTCCCTGTCCCATCTTTGGGAGAACCCGGCCACTGCTAAGGATGCAGGGGGAGGGATGCTCTCAGTTGACCACCTCTGTGGTCAAGCAGAGTGGGCCGACAGAGCACGGCAGGCCACGGAAATCCCCCGAGTGGCATTGCGAGAATCGGTGAGGGCTACCGAAAAGGCATTTTTTAATTTGAAAACAAAGGGACAGGTACTAAATTACCTGAAAATTAAGCAGTCCCCCAGTGAACCTTTTATAGATTATGTTGAGAGGCTCCGCAGGTCAGTTGAGCTGCAAATTAAGGACGAGAAGGCGAGACAAGAGGTGCTGAGAGAGATCGCCAATTGCTTTACAATGCCAACTCGCAATGTAAAGCAGCGATACTGAGCCTCCCAATGGAGCCCCAGCCGACCATCCAGGACATGTTAGAAGTCTGCGAGAAAAAGGTAGACCTTGCAGCGGTAGAGGAGCCATCCACAGGGGGACCTGCGCCAAAAACAGGAACAACTAAACGAGCCTACGCCGCCGACACCAGGATGCCTCCACCACATCCTCATCTTGCACCACCACCACGTAACCAACGACCATCAGCAGACCAATGCTATTTGTGTGGGACCCCGGGACATTGGGTGGGAAATTGCCCGCTCAAGAACGAATTTCACCAATTTAAAAAGGAGCAGGGCAGGGCCCAGGGACCTTCAAAAAACTGACTTACGAGTGCAGCCCTTCCCTGCGCTCAGACATAAATTCAGTGGGCCAAGGCACATCTCAGGGAGGGGGGGTTGGACAGACGCCCACACTGGACTGGCAAAATACCGGACTTGACACTTTTCCATCTAATACGATGCACACTCCTTACGAACAAATACATCGCAGGTCCATCTTAAGCACCTTGTCAAATTTTTCCCCTTTCAGGCTCCAGCTGACGGAACCCCTCCATCTTCGGGACACGGACCATCACCTTATTTCTGTTGCCCCAGAGGGTTCAGGTACCTGGAGTCAGCTGCGATGTAAGTACATCGTCATTGGGGACACCAAGGTCACACCCCAGGAGATCACGGTATTGCCCGGGTTAGTAACCTCAGACCCAGGGCGATTCGTGCTTCCCCTGTATTGCGTTCGCCTGCCGGTGTTTCTCCCTAAGGGTCAAATAGTTGCCCAAACCATCCCAGTCCCTGAGCCACCCTGGGACCAGGAGCAGGCGGCTGACCTTCGCCAAAAGCTTGTACCAGCTATTTACTGGGCACAGGCCCTTGGGGAGAACAAGCCCAAAATAGCGTGTGGCCTTCATCTTCACGGGGAACGAAAAACAATGCAGGGGCTCCTGGACACAGGGGCAGATGTAACGATCATTCCCACTCGAGAATGGCCGTCACATTGGGAGCTGCAAAGCGTGGCTGGTCGCGTACAAGGTATAGGGGGAATTCCATTGGCAAAACAATCAAGGAGCGTTGTACAAATCGAGGGGCCGGATGAGCTTGTCTGCCATATCACCTCTGACAGAACGATGGAGCAGTGCCAGGAGTTAAGTCTTGCTGTGTTGCCCATAGGGACTGTATCTGAAAGACAGCCTTTGAGTCCCTTCTTGACTATTTCAGGAAGAAAAACCTTTATGGCATTCCCAGCTTGCCCTGTACTGCTGTTCCAGTGGCCAGTTAACTTGCATGCTTTAGGGGAAAGTTTGCACCCTGATGTTTTAGGGATTGATTCTGAAATTTTTAGCTTAATGTGATCAGCTCAGGGCCTTCTCTAACTTCTTCTGGCCTGGTGGCTCTCCTCCTGAGCTTGATAGCAGCTCCAAGTGCACAGTACTTACGAACTTAGTCACAGCCCCTGGATTTCATCTCTTCAAAGGAGTGTCTGTAAAGAACCAGTTATACAAAAGTTGCTTCCTTGCAGAGCCTTGGGATTCAATTTAAATGAGTTTAAATTCAGTCCCTAACATGCGTGTGTGGGGTCCTCTAGTGTCACAACTATGCAAATAGAGGCTGCTGATAGTTCAGTTTTGGGAGACAGCAGTAACCAGCTGGTTTGAGATTGTTGCTGGCTGCTCTCAGTTTTACACTGTTTGCAGATTTGTGCTTTTGGTGTCAGAGTTGTTAAATTCTGAGGAATTGAGGGTATTTCCAATATCCAGTTGCAAATAGTGAAATCCCAGTGGTATTTTCCATCTCCTGGATGTTCTGCCTGCCTATTAAAGGGACAAAGTGGGTATTTCAATTATCTCTGACAGGATGTAAAATTGGCTAGCTTTACAGTGTTAAATATTTAAACAGGACATAATTGGCTTTAAATTTATGGTGGTGCATAGCAGAAACCCATGAAATGGCTGTATATATTGAACTCATTTATTATCTTTTAATCAGAGTTCTGTTCCCTTGGCAAGTATTTATTTAACACAAGAAAATGTATGCAGAATTAAGAAGAAAGGCTGATTGAAGAGATAATGGGGGGAAAAGTGGGATTTTTTTTCCTTTTGGATCATTTTGTCCAGTCCACCTAGTTTAGTGCTAATGAATCCTGATCCCATTAATTCTGCTTAGTAGTGATGACGGTCCCAGCCCTCATAGCTCCCCAGTTCTGTGTGGTATCTGGTTTGCCCTAATGCAGACCTCTCTTGTGTATGGAGCTTGGTGGTCACAACACAAGACTGCATCATAGATAATTTTTGTGCCTCCACCATCAAATAGCAGAGAAATCAAGGACTAAATGGATTAGATCCACAGGGACTAACCTAAATCCTGTGCTATAGGATGAGCTGTGTTGCCAGACACAAGGAGGTTGACCCCCAGCTCCTGTTGTGG